GATGATGCTGCAAGTTGCACCTGTTCCTGCTTCAGGATCATTGCCTTATGACACTTGGAGCACATATTCATAGTTGCTGCACTTCCAAAAAAGCCACAGTTGTTGACACACAGGATGGGGCCTTCTGGAGCTTGGCACCCTGTCTCATCATGAGACTCCATCTTCTCTAATCTACTGCAAGGGAAACCACCTTCCTATCAATAAGCCAAATATAAAGGAGGAAAAAGACAAAAGAGCAGAAGGACCACAAGTGATTCAACTTATAAGATGGACACCAATAAATGTAAGATGGAAACAAGCATACCAATTTATGCACCTAGAGGACATGTGCACATACTAAGCATGTAAATTATCATGTTGCTCAATAAGAACGAGCACCTAAGACCAATTATCACCATCACCATTCATGAATCAACATTATATCAGGCACCATGGCATAAATATCATTGCTAATTGTGGGCACCTTAGGTGGTGCAGATGACTAATTTATTTACAATGGCACCCTTAAAGAGACAATACTGAGTCAGCTGACAACAATTCCAATATAAGAGTCAGCTGACACTACTACCAATCAAGGGCAAGAGTGATGAAATGAACAGGTATGAGCAGCAAATAAAGATGTGTGAACATTAATATTGCAAAGAGCTAAGGAAGTAGTAGAAACAGAGCACATCATGAAGCTGCCAATACAATAACACATACATATGTCTAATATGCAGCATTCTTATAACAGTTTAGCAGGATAGCATGCTGGTGCTTCAGGGAACACAGGCTTCCTATTGACCACAAGTTCCAAAATAAATAACCCACAACCTTGCAACCATATCCATTATATCTATATTATGCAGAACAACCAGTGTCTTGGGTGCAGATTGGCTCTCAGTCCCACCCAATCACAGAATCAGAAACATATTTTCCATGGGAAAAAGGCAACAATTTGCCGAATCACAAAAGAGAAAATTAGTTCGTTTCATGCAGAATTAAGCTAGGGCCTCCGCCTCATTATCTTACACATAAAACATTATCACAAAACTCATCATTTAAACGCTTAACATTTGTCTCGCAATTAGGCATATAATTTATGGCACCATAAAGCTCATAATTAAAATATATGAAATGATCTTAATTGACACTTAAAATTCTTAACATGCCAAGACGCACAGCGTACAATTTTTCCGTTTCCCTTTAAAAATAAAAAAGGAAAAAAAAAAGGCTTAAAATATTCACCAAAAACCCTAAACAACCAATTGACCCCAAAACTTTCCCAGCAAAAATCAATCACAATCAGACCAAAAAACCCTAGATTATCGCTGGAAAAAACCAATCGAAGAATTCAACTTCAAAAAAAAAAAAAAAAAAAAGAAAACCTTAATCAAGAAAGCCCCTTACCTGAAATTTTAATTTGGCCGATCTTGTCTGACAAAACCGTACCAGGCGGTTCCTGTCTCATGCAAATTAAATACACCCACAAAATTCAATTTTAACATAAAATTAATAAAACCTAATCCCCCTCCTCAGTTCTATATCAACCAAACTAACCAAAAAAAAGCAAAATTTTATCATCAAAAGAGACAAAAAAGGTAACAAAGGAAAAAAGGAAACCCTTACCTTAATCGAAGAGATTTATGTCTGATAATGGTAGAAATGGAGAAGAGAAAGAGAGAGAAATTTTGGGGTATGATTTTTTTGTTCGGATTTTAAAATTTTGTCTCTCTTCTTTTTCCCCTTATTTAAAAGACCACACTACTTTTTCGCTGCCAACGAACGCTTCCCACTGAGTCGGTGATGCTTGACTCATTGCCATTGGAAAAGCTCATAGTTACTGTTATGCCCTTGATCGTATATTACGTGGCTATTATTTATTGGTTTAGGATGCAAGGGGACCTATGGGGAGTTTTGAGATTAATCGGGCGAGTTGGGCCTGCCAGAGCCCAAATTGCTTTCTACTTGGGTTGATCGGGCCTATTTTTAAAATTCAAACTTGAGCTTTCCTGACCAGTAAAGTTGTATAATTTATTATTAAAATACTATAAAAGCATAATATTTGTAATAGTTTAAATTATTTAAAAAAAATTAAATAACTTTTTATACTTTTATTGAGTTCAATCATACTTTTATATTTTTATTTAAATCAAATAAGTTCTTATAACTAATAATTAATTTAATTAAAATATCATTTGTTATTCCATATTGTGTTGCGTTAATATGATATGTTGATATATCATAATTGATGATGACGTGTCATGTTGACATATTATAATTAATGATAATATAACATCCTAATTTAAGATGATAACGTTATCATATGACATTTTTTACTTTTTTAAATTAATATTATGTCAATACCATATAGATATAAAATAATCAATAGTATTTTAACTAATGGTATTTAGTCCATCATTAGTTATAAGAGTTTATTTGATTCAAAATAAAAGTATAGAGGCTGGATTGAACTTAATTAAAGAATAAAAACTTATTTGAAAATTTTTTAATAGTTTAGAGACTTATTTGACCATTATACCTGTTATAAACATGATATATTAATTTTAAAATTAAAAATTATTTATTAATAAAATAATATTTTTTATAAAAAAGATACTTTTTAGTTGAACTGAGCTTTACCTAAAAGGTTAAAATACTTATCAAGTCCTTATACTTATGTATTTTATCTAATTTAATTCCTACACTCAAAATCGAAATAATTTAGTCATTTTACTTAAAATTGAAGTAATTTAACCCTTTTGATTTTAAAATTATTTCAATTTAATCCTTTTTTTTAACGGTATCCAATTTTGTTATTAAAAGTGATGATGTCAGCATTGACATGGCATTTTTGGTGAAATGGCACTACCATGATAACCTGATAATGCCACATGACATTAATGTGATGATGTGGTTGTGCCATATGACATTGATGTGTTGACATGGCACTGACATGTTGATGTGTCACTGCCACGTGGTAATGCTAACGTGGTAAGTTGAGAAAAAAATTAAAAAAAAAAATGTCACGTTATAAGAACTAAATTGAATAAAAATATATAGTATAAAAAATAAATAGAACACAACTAAGCTGTTTAAGGACTAAATTGAAAAAAAAAATTTTGAAAACATAAATTTTTGAGTAGATGATACATATAATTATTAATAAGTCAAATGTTTAAATGTAAAAAATTTATGATAATGAAAAATATATATAAATATTTTCTTACTTGATTATTTGACTTCAAAATACGTACATTTATTTATCTTTTTTGTAAAAATTAAATTTAAATTCTCCTTTTACAACAAAATTTATCAAAATACCCATAAAGTTTATATACTCATCCATTTTATCAAATTCAGGTTTTGTACTCAAAATCAAAATAATTTAGTTCATTGATTTCAAAAATTGCTCTAATTTAGTCCATTCTCTTAATGATATATAATTTTATCGTTTAAGGTGATGATATTAGCTCTGATATGACACTTTTGGTGACATAGTAGTATCACATGGTACTGGCATGATGATATGATAATATCATGTGACATTGATATGATAATGTGGTAATGCTGATATGGTATTGATATGTTGATATATCGATGCCATATGACAATGTTGACAGGGTAGATCGAGAAAATAAAAAAAATCTATGTCACATTATAAAGACTAAATTGGATAAAAATATATAAATATAAAAACTAAAATAAACAAAATTAAAGTATTAAGAGATTAAATTGAAAAAAATATTTGAAAAATATAAATCTTTGAGTAAATGATACATATACTTATTAATAAGTCAAATGTTTAAGTGTAAAAGATTTATTATGTTACAATATATATATAAATATATTCTTATAGAAAGACAACATCGTTATTTACACAAAACCTGAAAACACTTAGAATTAAGATTTCATTTTCACATTTATAAAAGACAATAGTTACTCTTCTCCTTGGCCACCCTTTAGTTTTTTTTTTTCCATTTTTGTTTTCCTTTGTTTTTTTTCAATAAAATTTTAATTCATTAATTAATTATTACGAAATTAAGGTAATGATGATAAATTTACGTTTTTCGATTCTAATTTAGATTTTTTTCTTAAATTCTTTAATAGCATTGTTTGTGTGTACCTCACCCTCATTGTGCTTAATTTTTATTTTTATTTTTCCTTTTTAATGATAATTATAAAAATAGTTTTTCATTCTAATTTGTTCAATTTAAGCATAACAGATATCTTATTACACTTATCGAATCTAAGCTATCCCACTTTATTTATTTATTTTTGATATTTTTATTTTATTTAGTATTTCTTACTACATTTTTTAGGTTGAAATTTTTTAAATTAAAGACTGTATTTATGACTAATAGAATTAAATATAATTATAAATATTTGAACTATTTTATTTTGTATTTAAGAATTTTTTGTAGATTTAAATTAATAATTTAAATTTAGTAGAATTTAATTATAGTTTTGAATTTAAATAAAATCGTTTTATAAGAAATTTTGAGTAAATTTAAATAAAAGTAAATTAGATAAAGGTTGAATAATTTCAAAAGAATGTGTATTTGTAAATTGTGAAAAGTTGTAACTAAATCAACCTATTTTATCAATTTAAGTTTAGCTCAAGTTAAAAATTAAGTTAAATTAGAATATCAATTTTAAATTTTAAATTTTTATACCATTATAAATAAAAGAACAAAAGAATTTATTTAATATTTTTATATTATTTTATTTCAACGTAATGTAAATTATTAATCTAAATTTGACTTTTAAGTATGATTTTTTTTTAAATATTAAATTTTTTTTTATTAAAAGAGAATTCACACTTAATTTTTCAAAAAAAAAATTATTTATTCTAAAATCAAATAATCAAGTAAAATATATATATTTTAATATAATAAATTTTTTATATTTAAATATTTAATTTATTAATAATTATATATATCATCTACTTAAAATTATATTTTTTAATTTTTTTTTAATTTAACCTCTGACACTTTATGGGCAGGCGGGTAATGCAAAGACCGAAATGGCGGGAAGGAATCAAAGCCCTAAACCTCAACTATAAATGAAGAAACGACATCTCCCTCTCAAAATTTCCTGCTGCCTGCCTTAGAAGCCAACAAAAAAAAATACCCTATATTTTCTTGTATTGGAAAAAAAACTCGGAAATATTGTTAATTAATTTGGGCTAAAATGGGAAAGAAAAAGAAATCTAGGGTTTCACGCGATGAAGAAGAGGATGAAGTGGTGCAAGAGGAAGAGAAAAATCACTCTTCTTCAAATAATAAGAGCTTATATGAGGTATTTCTAATTATTTTTTTTATTTGAAATTTGATTTTAGATTTAGAATTTAGGGTTTATGGGTAGTTTTTTCCCTGTGAAGAATTCGTTTTTTTTTTAATTTCTAGAAAATTTGTTAATAAATTGATGTTGCGTTGGGTTTAGATTGGAAATTAGGGTCATGGGTTTAAAATTCTTATTTTTTGTACGATTTGTTTGACATTTTATATTAGAAAAGAAATGCAATGAAATGGTAAAAGAAAATTGAAGGATTTAAAGTGAAATTTGACATTTGTTTTAAGGTTTAATTTGACAACTGCTCCAAATATTATCATTTTTTCATTCCAACATAATTTTTAGGTTCTTTGGTGGTTTATGTATTGGCATTTGCATTGGAAATTTGAGCAGCGCATGCCTAATAACAATCTGTTATTTGTAGGTTCTCGGTGTTGAAAAGACAGCCTCTCAGCAAGAGATTAAGAAGGCATACTATAAATTGGCCTTGAGACTACATCCTGATAAAAATCCTGGTGACGAGGTAAAAGCTTAAGTTAAGTTGTGTGTTGATGTTAGGTTTCGTTTTCTGTTTGTTTGTGGTATTTTTTGTGGAAGAAGATGAGGGTAAAATTTGGTTCCTTTTGATCTACTTGTAATGCATTATATTACTTCTACAGGAAGCTAAGGAGAAATTTCAGCAATTGCAGAAGGTTATATCCATTCTTGGTGATGAGGACAAACGGGCACTCTATGACCAAACTGGCTGCATTGATGATGCTGTGAGTGCTACGAAAATGTTTACCTCTCAAGTTTTTCTCTTCTAAGTAAATAAAGTTCAGGGCTACTCAAAGCTCCTAGGATATGAAATTTTCTGTTTCTTCTCACCATTGATGTGAAAAATGTCTCTTAGGCCTTTTATTGTTACTCATGCAGTTCAATTTAATTGGTGCATTTATCAAATTTATTACCTTACTAGCTGCACATTACCTAACTTGTCTCTGTTTGTTTTATTGATTAGGACCTTGCTGGGGATGTTGTTCAGGATTTGAAAGATTTTTTCAGGGCTATGTACAAAAAGGTTAAACATTTGTTGACTCCTTTTCCCTCTATGTGATTATATGCCTTGGCTTTCCATTACATCAGTTCTTAATGGTTTGAATCAATTTAAGGTCACTGAGGCTGATATTGAAGAGTTTGAAGCAAACTATAGGGGATCTGATTCAGAGAAGAAAGATTTGATTGACCTTTATAAGAAGTGCAAGGGCAATATGAATAAGTGAGGGAGGCAATTTGCTTTTCTTTCCTTCTTTAGGTGTGCCAGATCAATTCTGATCCCTCCCTCCCCTTTCCCCTTGACAGGCTCTTCTGTTCGATGCTTTGTTCGGATCCTAAGCTTGATTCACACCGTTTCAAGGATATGCTTGATGAGGCAATAGCTGCTGGTGAGGCTTTCTTCCTGCTTTTGGTTAGACAAGCTGGCTTAGAAGTTTTCTGTTCTAGAAGTAAAATGAAAGTCTTGCATCTGTTTCTTACCTGGTTTTCAATGTAAAAATGGATCCTCTATTCTGAGATCTTTACTGTTGATTCCTTTCTGTGTTTATAATGGTACTACTAAGCAAGTTTTTATTTCAGGAAATGATAATCAATGCATGGATTGCAGTTATTAGATGTTTTGCAGTTAAGAATGGATGAGCTAGATTGATTATTCCACTCTAGTGTCCTAAATGATCAAAATTAGGACCTAGATTGAGTTTTCCTCTGTAGTTTACTAAATTACCAAAATGGGGATAATTTTGAGGCCTTGTAGATTCTTACATCAACTCGATTCCATTTCATAGCTATTTTTGGCAGTTTAAGAATGGATGAGTTAGATTGATTATTCCTCTGTAGTGTCCTAAATTACCAAAATTAGGATGGGGACAATTTTGACGTCTTTTAAATCTTGCAGTGATAATTTTGATGTATGATTTTTCCTTGATATTAACTCTTCTTTTTTTTTGATTTCTGTGTAGGAGAATTGAAAGAAACCAAAGCCTACCAGAAATGGGCAAAGAAAATTTCTCAAATCAAGCCACCTACCAGTCCCTTGAGGAGGAAGAGGAAGTGAGTTTTGACCTGGGGTCTTTTCTATAGATCGTTAAGATATTTTACCTTAGTCACTTATGCGGTAAAAATATTTGCCTCTTTTTGGTCATTTAACAGATCAAATAAACAGCCAGAGGCAGATCTATTTGCAATTATATCTGAGCGCCGAAGTGAGAGGAAAGACCGGTTTGATTCCATGTTTTCATCACTGATCTCCAAATATGGGGGTAAAGCAGATTCTGAACCTACTGAAGAAGAATTTGAAGCTGCACAGAGGAAAGTTGAAAGCCATAAGGCCTCCAGCAAATCAAGGCGGAAGTGACATTGCATCTTACCTAGATTTTATTCTAGGATTGTTTCTCTAAAACTTTGGCTTTGGTGAGAACTCTACAAAATGCAACTTGTCTTAATTATCTAAAAATGAACAAATCACCTAAAGAAAGAAACATGAAAGTTGCCTTTGTTCTAGTCAAAAAATGACGACAGCATCATTTTCATTTGTCTTTGAGTTATCTGCTTGTTGATGGAAGGTTTTGGATGCAGTTATATTATATGCCTACTTTGATTATAAAACACAACCCGGTTGTTAGGAAACCTACCTGGTATCCAGTTGGCGAGTTATGATAAAGCCGATCCCCCACCACCATCATCATGTGCTATAACAGCAATGACTGGTTGGGTAATGATGGTTAATAAGTAGCTATTTTGAAGTTAGATTTGGAGTGAGCCGGTGGTTAGGAGATGTCTTTCTTAGCAGGATGGAAGCGGCTTGAACTCATCAATAGGAGATGATATTTTTTATCATTGACGTAAACTCTGATGGTTTCTGATCTACTTCAAGACTGGTAGCAAGAACAACTGGAAGATTCTTCAACGGCCAAACATGGGCACCATGAATTTGAAACGTGTAATGGCCAAATGCTGAAGGATCTGGCTGTTGCCCCCAGTTCAAAACGCGTGGAAAAGGGCTTCGAATGTGCTGCAACTTGTTTATAGCGAGGAGCAAGGAATGGTCTCCACTATCCACCTCCAGTTGTGGCAAGGAATGGCTTGTGAAAATGTTTGATTCATAGCAAGACAAACTCGGTGCCGGGGAAAGTGGCTAGCTTAGAATGGAAAAAATTGTTTCATTGAAATTTCAAAGTATAGTAGAGAAATGGGCCATTGTCCCCTCTTCCAAAAGCTTTCTAGGTTTTCTGGAGTGGATTAAGCGACCCCTTTGGAGTCTCTCCATGCAGCTGAATTTTGCATTTGGTGTTCAAATGGGATCCGAGAACAGTACCATGTTTACACTCAACTTTGGTTAACATTGTCAATCAGCATAATAATGATTACTACCTATTGAAAAAATTTGGCAAAATGAGCTATAGCCCTAATCAATAGTGACATGATACCTCATTGTTTTGACACAAAAGCTAAGTTAAGATGGGGTATTTGTATTTGTTTAACTGGGTTGTGCTGTCTCTTAGATTAAGCAACAAAATAGCTGCTGTATTGGCTCCAGACAAGGAGGAGCTTTACGGGGTTGATGATTCCATTTCCTCCCCAACATTTGTATATTACCACCAAAATGATTACACCCAAATTAATGATTAATATTTGTACATTATGAAATTCTTTTTAAGTCTTTTAGAAAAGTTTAAGCTAATCCATCGATGTACCTAAAGCCAACCAACAAATAAACCTAAAATCCAGTGCTGCTCATCACCCATCACTCATCACACACATGCAAAAACAAAAAAGCCCAAAAAGACCAAAAACACCCCCTTGATTGTAACATTCTGGAACATTCAAAAACTCTAAATAGGATTTTAATTTTGGTTTTTATAATTTTTTTCTAAGATGGTGACATCACAACTAGAACGCTGGGAAACATTCCCTGGCTTTATTTTTGTGCGTGTTATGTAGTCCCATGAATCTGCAAATGCAAGCAAAGCCTTTGCCTTTTACTTTGGTCTTCCCACATCTTACCCTGTTAACTTTCATTTTCTCTCTCTGTCCTTGTCTTTTCCTTTTGGTAGAATTATTATTATTATTATTATTATTATTATTAATTTATAATCAAGTTAATCAACTTTCTAATTAAGTTATTACTAGTATTATTTGGACCCCTGTGTTAGCTAATTACTTGACTTTGTCCTTCCACCTCTTATCTTCCCCACTTCGTTCATTTGGTAAGTAAGTCATCAACCTTTTAATTTTTTTAATTATCTTATTTAGTGTTGGATGTTGCTTTTACTTGAGTTCGTCCATCCACTTCTGTCTCTTTCTCTCTCTCACTTATATTCCACTGTGATATCATCGTTTGTCAAATTTAGCTTTACTCAACTTTGTGTGTTTTTCTTTTACCTATAAGATCATAACATTTTCTTGGAGAGCATCAATTGTCTCAAAGGTTTGATCTTTTTCAACTATTTTACTTTGTATTTAACCTCTCTCGCTTATCTATTTCTGGGTTTTTGTTTGCCTTTTATGCAAATCTTCTTTCTCTTCCTTCTTTGCCTTTGCATCAAATTTTGGAATTTGTCTTTTTTCTCGCTTTTAAACTTGTTTTAGCTGGGATTTGAAAAATGGGTCCTTACTTTTGTTGATTAATAAAAGATTGGATCTTTCGTTTTCGGTCTTTGAAGGTCTCCATGGAGAGTGATAATGGTGATGTCAAGTCCAAGATGGAAGGCTATGAAGTTGTAGAACAGATTGGAAGGGGAGCTTTTGGAGCTGCTTTTCTTGTGCTGCATAAACCTGAGAAAAAGAAGTAAGAATTTTCTCCATATTTTGTTTCTTGTTGTCAACTTGTATTTTTCTCAATTACCTTAATCTTTTAGAGGAACATACAATAGAAAAGATTTTGGAAATGGTCTAAGTTTCATTTTTTTCCCAAAGAAATGGTAGTTACAAGAAATAAATTTCCATGTGATTGTTAATGTTTAGGAGTGTTGTTTGTTTTGTTATCCCAATAATGGATTTCTGGAATGCAAAAATCAAGATTTCCGTGATTGGTAATGCAGCAAAGACTATGTTCTGAATATGTGGCCTTTATTTCACATTTGTAGCTGTCGGCATGGTTCCTCGTCTTTTAGCAATTATTGACTTTAGCTATCGGATAGTATGATATCTTTTATTTTTGTTACTCTGTTAGGTATGTGTTGAAGAAGATTCGCCTGGCCAAGCAAACAGAGAAGTTTAAGCGTACAGCGCACCAAGAGGTCACTTTCTTGAAATATTTTCTAATTAATTAAGGATTAAGTTGTGGTGAAAGTTGCATAAATTATTCCTTAGTGAATTAGGATTTAAATATTTTCATGTTGATTATCCACATAGGTTTTTCTTGGCCTTTAACTGTCTCATCTGTCGTCTTGTTCATAAAATTAGCTGAATTAGTTAAATTTCATTTTCAGTATCTTTCTTATTTTCTGATTTTATATGGTTGAACAAATTCCTGATTTTAAAAATCTTGATTTAAGAAAAGTTTTGGTTATGGGTGTCTATGTTTTGTTCAACAATCAATCTTTTTATTCATGTGATGATCTAGGTTGCGCACCTTTATCTGCCCAATGGGATGCTTTATAACCTGAGTTCCCCTGTTGCCATTTTCCATCCTTCAGTGCCTCTCTGAAGGCTGTGATCTTTATATTTTCTTTTTGGGCGAGTCCTAGTTTTATTTAGAAAAACTACATATATATACATACATATATATATATGTATATATATTAACAAACTATGCACACATACACAAAACACACCTGGAAACTGAATACAAGCAATGGAATCACAAACAACTGGACAGTTGGAAACAGTCTGAAAATATGTTCATGCTGCTATGACCATCTACTTTTGCCATTTTCCCCCATAACCTTATTTGTCCATTGGGAAAATCAGTTAGTGTGTTTAGTTTGGGGCAGAAGGAGAGACAATCAGTGATCTAGTTGAGGGTATCTTCTCTTACTTTTTTTGGTTTGAATGTTAATCTCAAATTTTCAGTAATCTCATGTATTGCAATCAAATATATATCTTCAAAAGTTGTGAATAGCCTTCTCATTTGAACATTTTGGGTCTGAAGATTTCCTACTTTATTGAGAAAAAGGTTTGTTATAGTTAGTGACAAAAATGCCTAAATTTATTCAAAATTAAAAAGGATCCTTGAAGTTACTAGTAAAATTGATGCCAAAATAAGATACCAATGATGTCTACATAGCTTAGTTTTTGATGTCTCATAAAATTTTCATATCTCAAACCTAAAATGCCCTTAATTCATTTCTAGGCAGTTCATGTTTGAGATTGTGTGTCTCAATATGTGCTTTCTTGCATTGCAGATGGAATTGATTGCAAAATTGAATAATCCATATATTGTTGAGTACAAAGATGCTTGGGTTGACAAGGTGAAAGGGTTATATCACTCTTTTAGATTTACATTGGATATGACAGAGTTGCTGCACAATATTATTATTTGTATTGTTGAGACCATGACTGACTCTTCATTAATTTGTTAATTTGTCTTCGTATTTCTTAGGGAAACAGCATATGCATCGTAACTGGCTACTGTGAAGGAGGGGACATGTAAGTTACCACCATAAAGAATTGTTGGTTTTTCTGGATCAGATTTTTATGGAATATTCAAGAGCTTCAATCATCTTGAACACATTATGGGAATTTTTATGCTCATGGACTGCATTTTTATACATTGTGGTCTTTCTATGTATGTGGAAAAAACTTCCTTAATTTTGAGAAGAATAGGATTTTCTAGTTATTTGTCGAAGTAAGTAACATTATTTATCTTGCCAGATTGGTTAAGAAGTAATTAAACAGCTGTATGCTTCAAATTTTCAATCTTTCAACAGAAGCAGTCAATGATGAAAAGAATAAATATCTCATCACTAAAGTTAAATGAGTAGGATTTTATGGTCAGCTGTAGTGTATGTATTATTGGTCATCAGCTTTATTCGGATTACAATGTAATTAAATAACAGATTGGTATTGCAACAAGAAAATAAATTTAGCAAATTCATCTGATGCTTATAAATGACTAACTGTGGCACTTAAAATTTTTGTTGAATCAGGGCTGAGCTCATTAAGAAGGCCAGAGGTATGCACTTTCCTGAGGAGGTAATGCAATACGACTGCAGTTGAACTACTTATATGCACCTGCTAGAGATGGGATTAACCCTCTTATTTGTTTTTTTTTTTTGGCTCCCTAGAAAATCTGCAAATGGATGACTCAATTGTTGTTGGCTGTGGACTACTTGCACTCTAACCGTGTTCTTCATAGGGATCTGAAGGTACTTCTTCTATATTCATCCCTATAGTGAAGAAAAGCTCAAAAATGATAATGCTATGCTCTAACTTTTATTTAATCTCAGTGTTCCAACATATTCCTTACGAAGGACAATGACATCAGGCTTGGTATGTGGGCAAAAGGATTACTGGAAAGTTACTCCTGTTCTTTGTCAGGTTTGGCATCCTTTTTGATGTCTTCTAAGATATGTATGTGTTGTATGGACT